TCTCTCTCTCTCTCTCTCATCCAGTGACTAATTACCTGATTCCCCATGGATTTGTTTCCTCCTTCCCCTACAACTGCTCAGGTTGTTCTGCTAAATGAGAGCATGCTGATAAGTGGAGATACATTCAAACAGAGCCAAACTGCACTGAGCCTCTTCGCTTAGTTCACTGAAACTGTAACAGGATGAGTTTGCTATCAGTCTAAGAAGTGGAACTAGGTTTTTACTCCTCGTTCCCATGTTATGTTTCTTGATGTGATGATCTCTTTACCTCTCTTTACCGGGATGTAACCAGTAGCAGTCTAATTGCCATTGGCACTGATCATAGGCTAGGCAGAAAACCCTGATGTAGCATCTGTCAGGGAGCTTGGTATTGGGTTTATAGCTTGTTCAAACCACAAAGTGTGAATTTGGGTTATGTGCAGCGAGCATTTGCAATTTACTTCTTTGTCTTTCAAACCCACTTCCCAACCTGAGTTGAATACACCAATCTCGTTGCTTGATGTGCAGGTCTGCAGTGCAGGTTGCTGACAATTGGCTCCTTTGCAGGCCTCTGCAAACTTTGGTTACCCATAACACCCTTCTCTGTGTAGGTTCCCAGAGACGTTCAAATGTATCTCGAGAAGCATCATTTCAGCTCGATCGGCAGCCGCAGCACAGCACTCAGGACTTAGGCAGTCCAGTGCTACATGAGGAGCTTCAATCCCAGTTAGAACAATACGAATTAAAGGCTTTTCGGATGTCAAAGCACTATACATGGTTTACAACTCTGCAAAGTTATCACAGCAGCATTTTATCTTTCATCACAACAATTGTGAGGTAAAAAGTAAAAATATGGTGTTCAAGTTACAAAGTAATCTACCAGGAATGTGTAGCAAGTATTTGATTGTCAACTGGAGCGCCTTCACGGTTGATATCTGGCACAAAATTGAGCCTGGTTCAACTTTCCTCGCTGGACAATCCTGTTTTATTTTTTCATTAGGGTTCCTCCTCTCCGTTGAAAGGCAGGCTTCATTCAAATGAATGAAGGGGCTAAATTTTTATTGCAAGGCTAAAGTCGACCTGAAGGCCGCTAGAAGGACTTCATAATTAAAGCAAACGTAGTACACTACCTGTTAGGCCTTAAAATATTCACAAAAACAGAATTTATGAGTGAAATTAGCGAGAACCCCCCACTTCAAGTTCTTTAACCTTCTGATTCCTCTGTTCCTCCAATACTTTAGAGCCATTTGAAGAATTACAGGTTAAACTGCCTCTACGTGGCCTTCGACGTTCAGCCACAGTGATTATCAATTGATACTAATGCTGACTAAGACTGGCGCCAAAATAATGACAACAGTCTCAGGTGAACATGGCTCAGGCGCCTGGTTTATACCCATTCACATCCGAAATGAGGAACAAAATCTCTCCTTGAAGCCTTTTTCTGATCCTAATTTTAAGAGGAAAGAAATCAGATATGTGTGTCACATAGAGGAGGAGGAGAAAAAAATTATCAGAATTGGGACACTTCCAGCTGCAGTGTCAGTGTAGCTTGAAGGGATTAATTTCTCCAGGGCAGGTCAGGAAATTTCATTTTTACAGGACTACTCTGTAATATTAATACTATCCAGATTTGCTGTGACTTTTTAACTTTTAACAGGAGAGAAAAAAATCCAGCCTCAAACACCTGCTGGGTTCTTGGTTCTGAATTTATTTATCATGATATTAAAACAGTGACTCATGCTATGTGTTATATTTTGAAGATAAAGATGAAGATTACCATGTCCAGTGACACTTTGTGTTTCTGTTTGCAACCAACAAGAGACCCATACATCTGGACACAAATGGAAATCACAAGCATCGTCTTGCTAAGATGAGCAAAAGCAGATGTTAATTTTAAAATAAAGTGTGAAAAACTGATGCATGAAACATTTGTCATTTACCCACTTTCCTTTTTTAACTTCTGAGAAAGTCTGACTACACATCTGCTCTTTCTCAGTTTAACAGCCAGAGCTTCTCAGTACTTCTTTTGTGGTGTTGCTTGCTCATTGGCACTTCAGTAGATTCCCCCCCCCCCCCCTTCCTCTTTTGCACAGCCCCGAAACCAGATTTTTATCAGTGAGGCAGCTTCTAACCTCCAGTCTCTGTGTCTCCTCAGTGTGCATCCTTCCAAATGGTTCCTTCCTGCCAGCAGTCTGGGTCCCCGTCCTCCCCACCCTCCTCAATCCTCGGTCTGCTGCCTCCCCCTCCTCCCCCTCCTACAGGGCTGGACCCCATTCGAGGGCTTCCCCTATCTGGTTCCCTCACTCACATGAAGGTAAGACACACACACACATGCAGGAGGCAGCGCAGAGTGTTTGGGTCTCTGGTTAATCCAGGGTCTTGGTTTGGGATTATATCGAGATGGAGCCATTAAGTGGTTTAACCAACACTGAGCTGAGGCCAAACACGCGAAGCAGTGACGCCTCAGATGATGCTACTTATAGGAACACACACACACGCAGCAAGCATGTGGCTTTGTGTTTGTGGCTGTTTTCTAGTTCAGAACTTGTGCACGACCGAAACCTTCCTCTTCCTCTTGCCCCCAAACCCATAAACACACAAATACACACAAACCTTCATGCAAGTAAAAAAATAACAACATCATCTTCGCTTCAGGCCTCTAACATTTACTCCCCTCCTTTCACTCAATCATCTTTCGGCTCCCTACTCTCTTTTAGGGGTGAGTTTTAAGTTTCATGAGCTCCTACATCCCCCCTCACACACACACACAGACACAGACTGAAACTTACCCCCATTTCCACCATCCTCTCCCGCTTCACATCCCCCCTCCCCCTCTGACCGCAGCCCCACCCTCTGGGCCCCTTCTGTGCTAACCGACCTCCAACGGCCCCCTTCCTGATCAGACACACACAAGCACACAAAAATGTGCGCATCCACATGCATCATGTCCTCTTTCGACTGTTAACCGTTTGTGGTCAAAGAGTGAGCTTGACTTAGTTATCGGTCCCTTTCAGGTATGTGTGTACATGCCTTTCTGTGTGTGTGTGTGTGTGTGTGTGTGTGTGCAAGAGGATTTCTCTTTTGACAGCAAGATGGGTCTAAAGAGATAACCTCCAAAAAGACAGAGAAAGAGCTTCCGCCACAGACTGTATTTCTCAACTAACTGAAAACGGTCACAATTAGAATATCACGTTTTACCAGAGTGAGTAAACGATAACACCCTGTGATGTCGCCTTGGGACGGTATTTAACGTCCTTAAACATTGTTGCTGAGGAATTAAATCAAAACCAGTCGGCTTTTGTCACACACATTTACTTTGTTTTCTTTGATATTATACAAAGAAATGCTCTTAAACCAGTTCTCTGACCGCTCAACCAACAGGACGTTTTTCCTCATTTGAACGTGTCGTAGCAGGAAGAGCACAGGTGTAATCCATTACATTAATAACGACTGCATTCCATTCAGATGAGCCAGTTCCAGCATCCTGGTATTGTGCATGCTGACTTACAGGAATGACTTACTGGGACACTCAAGAGGAGCCATCGTGAAAGGTATTAGTTAAACCTGTGCCTTTCTTGCTATGACATGTCAAAATGTCTGCTGTGAAAAAAGGGATCCTACGACTTACTTCACAGCAATGTGCCGGTCATCCCTCAAGCAATTTGACCAAACAATAGCAAGTCCGAACATATGTTGCTTTTCCACCTTTTACTACAATTTGTTTCATTTCTATTTGCACCTTTGCACCATAAGAGTCCCATTTTTTTACTGGAGGAAGCTGCTGTTTAAATTTGGGCAAATAAGTCGAACGCGCTGCCACTCACTCGTAGAGACAGGACACTTCTCTGCTGTGGCTCAAATTTGTGATTCTAGCTCATAAGACAAACTCATAAGAGCTGTGTTTCTACATAGAAATCTCTCCTGATGCGGCTTTAAAGCTTGAGAGGAGACAAGAGTTTTGTTTGTACAACTGCCTCATTTGCAGCTCATCGAGCGATAAATAGCAACAGTTAAGCCCTGAAAATGAGCACTAATGTCGCCCGGAGTGACTGTCTTAAATCAGATTCATAGAAAGAGTCTGAGGCAGGACTTCAACAGCGAACGCAAGAGAGAGCAGCGGTGGTGAAAAGAAAGCAAGAATGTGTGTGTGGAGGGAGAATGTGTGTGTGCGCCTATCAGACAGATTTTGTGTCTGTGTGGCTCGGCTTTGATGTCTGAATGCGCGCACGCACACACACACACACACACACACACACACACTCACGCGCACACACTACAAATGATTGTTTTTAAGAATTCAAGCCAGGGAGCTCCGGTAGGCGGTCTGCCAGCTGGCCACGGTCCAGAGAGTGGAGCGTAGCCAGCACAGAGAGAAGAAACCTGGCTGATACACACACCACACAGACACG